ATTGGTAAATCAAATATAAAACCGACGCGGAGTTCATGTTCAAACTTGTTTGATGCAGGACCCTGCAAGTTTGATGGCTTTTCCATTCAAATCATCTCTTTCGTCTCCATGAACCTCTCGAGCGCAAGTCCGGTGCCCATAAAAGTAAGAGTTGCGTGGATGCGTTTATCCTTGCTCACTCAAGTCTTTTCACCTTTGGCAGTACGGTTTGCAATCCCTGCTGAGCACTGGACTTAACCGTCCATTCCCTCTTGCTGCTGGGATATCCTACGAACAAAAGGAAGTACCGGACCCAGAGTTAGCGGTTGCAGGGATTGGCACAATTGGTATTCCACTCGAAGAGGCCGACGCTTTAGCTCTCATTTCGAGTGCAACGGCCGATTGGCTTGGGGCTCAGGCTGTCAACGAGACGCCAAGGTCACCGTCTGAGATTTTCAATAGCCCTGGACCTGGTACATGGGAAATACCAGCATACAAGGTGAGTAGCATATTTCTCTTTCTATACAAGCTTAGAAACACAGATTTCTGTTGCCAACTCTGGATTTCTGGACTGGCTACAAGATGTCAGCGGACCTGAAACTCTCAATTGCATTGGCGCATGGAAACGGAGTGGCAGAGTTCAATACGTTTTGAAGTGTTTGGTGATTCACGAGACTTCACAGTACGTTTTCCAAGTTCCTTTGTACTGCCGATGAGTGTCATGTAACGGAGCAAAAAGACTTGCTAGCCGAACAATCAAACCCAGCAGCAACAAACTAGGAGAGCTCGTCGTGATCCTCCCATGCTCGTACTCTGATGGAAATCTTGCTCATGCACATCTCGAGGAGGTTTTTCAACTGGAGCCACCAGTGACGAACACTGACAGACGCAAGCAAACTTATTCGGTCATCTCAGCTCACGCCGGCGTATGTGAAATCGTCTCTCCAGTCACTGCCGGATTCCGCGTATCTTTGCTTTATGATATACTTCAAGACGGTTACCTGCCCAGCAGACTGCCCAGTCTTGATAGCCCCAAGCAACGATTACGTCATCTTCTTTCGCCATGGGCGACATTGCAAGTCGTATCAACATGGAGTTATCCGCACAGTCTTCTTGGTTGCCTGCTCAAGCACAATTATACCCAATCAGCCGCGTTTGATAGTTCTTCGCTCTCAGGAACATCTGACGAGCTGTTGTTCAAACTGTTCGACATCATCGCGCGAGTTGAGCTTCGATATATTTTTCGGCCAGATCGAACTTCTGGTCCGCAGCGGGGTCAGTGGCAAGTTGAACCAGCAGTTTTGGCGCTCCGAAATGGAGAAGGCGATCATCACAGCGATATTCGATGTGAACGGGATCCCAGTTGTGGTGGAGGGACTTGAACAAGGCTTAATACCACAGGAAGATCTCGTTATTCAAGACGGCATTCACCTTCAACAGGCGATTGCGGTGGCCTGCGCTGAGGCGAGTCAGGCAACCTCACGGATATACTGAGCTGATGGTTGAACAGAAGACCCAGATGTTCTCAAGTGAGCTTCAGTTCAAGTTGTCTGGTATGGAAGATTAAAGCTTCCTTTTGTGTGTTAGGGTATCGTCACACCGTCTTATTGCTAGGGCCATGTAACTCCAAGGGCCTTACCGTCAAGGTGACCGACAAAATCTTCGAATATGCCCAAGAAATTCTTGGAGATAGCCAGACGATGACACCAAGTCGAAAAGAAAAGGCGGTGTTCGATGCATTATTGAGTTGGTGTGAAAGACAGTTGCAGTGCAATAAGGACAGTGATGCATTGGTGTTGCCCGCCCGCCTCCTCCAGAAATGTAGTCGGCAATGGTGGGATCTAGAGCTTTTCTTTCGCGTGGCGCTCGCTTGCGGTTGTGACCAGTCTATCGCAGTCTGGGGCCCCGAAGGGTACGCGTCGGCATATCTTGAGTTTGGGTGGCTCGATGCGATTCAAAATCTGTGGGTGCCATGATTCCTTGAACGCTTTTGATGAAACGAAATTTGCGTAGGTGCGAAGCAACGCTCATCAATGACAACTGCAAACTACAGAAATGGGGTCTAATCGCATGCTTACGGGAGAAGGCAATGCTGAACGGAGACATCCAGCTCGAAGCGTGGTGCGGGAATCATCAGTCACGACTCTTATCTTTGTTGGCGGAAGTAAAACCAAGCGACACGCCGTGGCTGATGTCTCTTTGCATGTCTAAGGGCGGCAAGTTTCTGAGAAACGTGTGCGTCGTCCAAAATATCTTTGTTTCGTTACTTAGCTTCGAACAGAATATATCCGCACCTTGTGAGCCAATGGCTTCCTATTGAGGCATTCTGGATTCCTTTTATGAGGGGTCTTCACGAACATCGAGCACGGATACCATACCTCGAAGATCCCAAGGCCGTATACGATGTCATTGAACTGGCAATTCAGTACGTTACAGCAGTCCTCCCCCCGTTCCCAACCAAGTTTGTCGGCGACGAGGAAGTTCAAGACGTCAACATCGTAGCAGAACTTATGTGCTGCTGTCTCGAGATAGATCACGGGACAAGCATTTGTGTCGCTCTCACCTCCAAGATGCACGATGTCGCTACGAGGGGAGAATGGCCAAACCCGTCTCCATGGCCATATTACGATGTTATGGTCGACATACTCCGGAAGCATTACGCAGAAGAAGACTGCGAATACCACAGCCTGTGGTATCGTCAATTCTTCCAAGATGCAACAATATTCTTGCTATCACCTTATAGCGTTGCAGGCAAACGAATGGTGTTCCCTTGGGAATTTACGGAGACAACGCTTGTGAAAGTTGTCGATGTTATAGCCCGCGCTGGGGGAATGCCCTTCTTGGGCAGCTTGTAAGTGGAAAATGGAAACTCCGAGGCAACATACTGACCTGGAGACACTGGCAGATTGCTCGTTCAGCCGCATTTATTACACGGACGCGATTCCGATTCGTTGAAAGCATTTGCGAAAACTATCTTGAGCAAATTTTCCGTTGTGGGGGCTGCGAATTCAAGGTGGTGAAAGACTTCCTTCTCGATGCGGCCATGAGCGCCGTAGATCTTGAAATCATGAAAAGTGACAAGGTAACCGACAACATCAAGTTTTGCCTGGAGCATAACGCGTCTGCGCCAACCTACGAGCGTTTCTTGTTGAGAGTTGCAATGATTCCTCCAGGAATGGCCAATGATATATATGTCCTTGAGGTGCTCGTTCCGACCTTGGTCAGCCTGCAGCGTTCTCTGGGTCTTACGGCTTGTCTTTGGAAAGCCCTGCATTCCAAAGGTTTGCACAAAATGTGATCGTTTTATTCACCAGATGTGCAACATATATCCCCGCACAATATCTCCAGACGATTCAGATTGGTTGCTTCAGAGCTTCGTGTGCTGATTGTCCAGCGCTGAGAAACTTTCTTCTCGCTGAAGACCAGTATGGCTCCACCACGTTTCAGAGGAAAGACAAGTTGCGGAGGCACATCATCGCAGGGCTCAAATCAGCGCGGCTGGACCAGCTTGGGGTGACATGGGAGACACTCACAACGTCGTCGCCGTATGTGTTAAAGGTGCGCAGTATTTCTGGACAATGAACTACCAAGGTCACCGAGTGATTTACAGGTACACAAGCCATCCAATCTTTTGCAAGAGGCCGTGTCACCAGGGCGCCGTCTTCAAGGTGTTGCATTGCTGACGCTTCTGGGGAATCGGGAAGCCCAGAAAAATATACTGGAAGATAACTTCGCGGGGTATGGGCCACTTTTGACGTTGTTAACACGGTGGGCAAGTAGAAAAAGCACGAGGCCATAGTAGTAGCGTTCCCTAGTGAAGTCAAGAAAAGTGGGTGTATGTACGTATGTTTTATGATCAAATTTTCAGTCACATGTCACGCAGTAACAGCCAGCAAGGCAGTTGAAAGCAAGTCAAGCACAATTTGATTTTCGCTGCGATATATCAACAATGCATAGACTACAAATTTCGCTACACAAGGTCATCAGCACAAGCAACTACAAACAACCGATTCAGCCGACACCAATACCCGACTAAGCATTTGAAGTAATCTCAAATAAAAGCACCTGTCGTTGAGCCGCGGTCAAGTTGCCCACAGCCAATGCTGCGCCGTTGGAAATTTCTCGAAGAAAATATTCAAATTCACGGCCAAGAAGCTGCATTTCGGGACTGAGATATGGGCCAGTGTATGGCATACGTAGATTTTTGTTTTCGCAAAGCAGGCGGTCTGGAGAACACCGGAGCTTGTTGGACTATAGAACCGTTATGATTTTATCCAGATAAAAGTAGAAATGACTTACGAGGAGCAAAACCAATCTCCCCCGTCCAAGCCAATTAACGCGCTTCCTCCGAGCTCTGACAAACTAGGAGGCCTTGTTCCGCTCTGATCATGCGTTCCTCTCCAAACATCGAAGAAGAAGTCAAAGTAACAGACGGTTGAGCCGTTTCTTGACTCAAACGCAGGGCGAGGCTTCGAAAAACTGAACCAATAGAGCGGCGGCGAACATGACCACCACCAAGCATCTGAATCCAAAGCGTTATTATCTGAGCAAAGAGAGAAGGAAAACAAACCTACTGTCATCACTGTATCGTCCTCCTTCATTGGGCAGGAGCAGATGGCCGTTATGGTCGTCGTATCCGAAGATCCAGTCGGATGACGTTGACGAACGGTGGCCGGTCTTGTCAAACAACAAATCCTCCATTGATGACCCTCGTCCAGTTCGCTTGCCCGTAATCAAGTTGTAAGATGGTCCGTCATACTCCGGCGGAGATGAGCAGCTCCTTGCTTGTATGCCGTGTCAAACATCTTGTCGCCAACCCCAGGTCGACCGAGACAAGCAACCGAGAAATCGCTCAGAATTGAGTCTGTCGAGGGCTCATGTTGACGTCTCGCCCAAGCGGCACGACCACCAGGAGCACCCTGCGAAGTATAGAGTGAGCGAGCTGCCGCTGGTGCTGCTATCTGCTTGACTCAAGCAATGACTTGCATAGCTCTGGTTGAAGTTGCTTTTGAGATGCAATGCTAGCGGTAGACTCGCGACAGCGATGACCGCGAGAAGTTCGTGATCGTTGAAGGAGTTCGTGATTGCTGAGCTGGTGCTTTGAGGTAGAAACTAGATGCATCGCTGGCCACACGTTTGCGACGAGAGTCCCACGCCAAGAACGAGAAGGCGTTGTCAACGCTCATAGAAAGCGAGATGGACAGATCTTCAGAGGATGGTTGCTCGCGGAGACTGGGCGTAGGCAAGCCGTACTCGAAAGGATCGTTTACTCCGGGGTCGGTCACGTGTCCATAAGAAGAAACAGACGGCGATGCTGAAGACAGAATCACGCCGTCCGTGGTAAGCTCAAGCGTTGCGCGCAGCAGGAGGTGGTGGATAAAACGTTGGGCGATCAGCATGGAGCTCGAAACCTCTGCGGACCTCATCAAACGAGTCGAATCCGGTAAAGCTGATGCCAGAGGCGGGTCTTGAACGAGTTCGAGAACGCATGCTGGCCATCGAAGCGCGTGAATTTCCGACGGCAGAGCGACGCAAACTGGAGCCCAGTTGACCCATGGGCGGGGTTGGGCAGCAACGTCTGCGGCATAGGCAAGAACGGACTTGACTCGGAGCACAGCCTGAGATCCCTTGTCCTCCATCAATGACGTCAGGGAATGAGCGCGCCTGTGAGAGGGTGGTGGAAGAATGTTTGACAAGGTAAGCGGCTCTTTTTGCATCTTTGGCGCTGGTTCCTCTCCAGGGAGCTGACCCCCAAACTTGAAACCAACGCTGAGTTCACCAGTCGATGGGCCTTTTTGTGGCAAAAGGCTTATGTCACTTCCCAGGCTATCAGAGCCAGGCAAGAGTGTTGGTTCTTTGAGATCGATGATTGGGGAAGGATATTGTGGGTGCTTGAATACGGCCCTAGTACTGACGCCTTCACTGGCTGCCGTCGTCAGCGCTGTGATGTCCATCAAACGTGTAGCTGACCGAGGCGATCGCTGGTCTTCCAAACTGGACGAGTTTTCTGGAGACGACGGTGCCGAGGAAGTCTGGTCCATGATAAACCGCATAGGAGGAACCGGAGGCACGTCAATCGCAAGTAGATTGCGCAGGTCGATCTTGGCTGGTGTTTTGAACGCGTTCTCCTGTTGTTCAACGAAAATGCGCCTATCTGATGCCCCAGGCTCATTCAGCTTCTGGAGCTCACCCGTGATATCAAACGACTTTTTCGTATCCTCCTCCGAGGTAGCGCCATCATCGATATCGGCATGATTACCATTGGCTTCAACAAGCTCAACATTGAATATGGGCAGCTGTAGTTGAGGGGGCGACGAGGAGATGCGAGGCGAGGGAGGCAGAGGCGGCAGGTCACCAGGTGGAAGCCCAGAAGACGGCAGAGAGGTGTTGGCGCTAGTAGACGGGAAGAACGAGAGCGTGTCAACAGGCGATGTGGCACGTGACGCCGATAAGATAACCTGCAACTCGTTTGGAATATCCGAGTTCAGGGTCAGACACATCCAGTTCCTGCTCTTTGGAATCGTAATCCGAGGCATGTGATCCCCCCAAAGTGCCTGCCGTACCGAGCACTCGCTTTGCGCCACGCGCGAGGGGTTCCGTTGTGACTGCCTTTGCTGCTCCGCGGCGAGGGCTGCGCATCAGCAGGCAACGAGGACCGATTGCGAATGTGACGGGTAAAGACGGGAGGCAAAACGCGACCGGTTTGGGGCTCTTCCGGCGAGTCGGATGACGAGCGGGAGCCAAACGTTAGCGATGACAACGACCGCATGTCCATCTTGCTGTCCACAGAAGATGGAGGTGGAGAGGGCGGTGATGACGAAACAGGTCGGGTTCGTGAGCGCCGCAAACGCAAAGAGTGGAAAACAGGAGCTGGGTCCGGCTCTGGCGAGGGCGTCGTTGTCCCGCGGTGAGATCTTTTGAACGTGGCGTCAGAAGCTATCGGCGCAGGCGGCGTTGACTCGAGAGTAGTACGGAGCAATTTGTTGGCCGATCAGTTGTCGTTGAGATGCTTCAGGCGCTAGTTGCCGTTTGGGCGAGAGGGCAGCCCGTTCAGCATACGGTAGAAGGGGGCTGACTGACCCCGTGGGTCGCAAGACTTTGGATATGTTCTTGCCTACGGGAATCTCTTCAACAGGCGGCACAACAGCATCGCGAGCAGCCTGAGGCGAAGGAGTCGCATCCAACTCGAGGAGCATAATCGATTGAGCAAGATCATTCGTCGCAGCGTCCGACGTGTTCAAAACACCTCCTGGCTTTGAGTTAGTCATGATTAAGAAAACAAAGTAAAATTTTCACCTGTGGAAGAGCCGTTGTTTTCAAAGACTCCACGAAGGACAAGGACGAGACACCCCCCTATCATCATCCGAAACCAGACGCGGCTTTGGTCTTTGACGTGTTGCAGACACAATCAGGAAACCCTCCGCCCCCACATCCTCATAATCCTCGCCTCCATGTCCATTGGTAGCGGCTTCCTCAACGGCACCGTGACGCTCCTTAAACTGTCCAGAACACACTTGTCGTCGCGCCAACCGCCCTCTACTAGGCCATCCCGGGAGAGCTCGGCAGAGCCAGCCTCTGGAGGAGGCACGCAACGCAGGGAGGCATTTGGGACGGTTAGCGGAACACAGGAGGTCCGAGTCGGCGTAGAACGAAGCATTGAGACGGGAGGAACACACGCTAAGCAGCGGAATACGCGCTACAAAACCGTATGAGACCGCATGGAGCACTGACTCGGAGGAAGAACTTACTCACACCAGGAAAACGTTGGTAGTCAACAAAACGCGTTTGTCACAAACGTCACGGAAAGCACGTGCTAGATATATTGACGTGATCAAGCAGATGCTCAACCTCCTCCGGTTCAAACCATTCCTGCAACAGTTTGGTAGACGAACACTAAGTCACTCGTAACTTGTGAGCAGCAGCAACAAAAAAGCAAGTTGATTTCATGAGTGATAGCAGATATGTTTGCAGGAACAACTACGACTAGATCCATTCAAGTTCACTGCAAAACCATGAACTCGTGGCTGGTCAAGACAAAAAGTATCGCACCTTGCCTGGTCAACAAGAGACCGATAGAGATAACCCAGATGAATGCCCATCTCGGACTGATACGCTTTGTCAACAACAGCAAGGAACCGAACATATTCAATCTTAATGTCAATGCTCATGTTGAGCTCTTGGCCTGCAGCGGAGATTTCGAGTACATGTCCAGTCTACATTTAAAATAAAAATCAAGTTGAGACACCTCAGTCAGAAACGCACCAATGCCAAAACCAATGCAACCAATGCCGAGCTTACACCAAACGCGTCGAATATAAGATTCACGGATAACAGTCATGATGGCAGCAAGAATAACCGGGTGTTGAAGTTGCGTGGCTTCATTTGCCTCCTCAGCCTGAAATGAAAGAAGATTACTACGGTGGAAGCGCTCATGGCAAGCTCAACATACCGAATGAACATCATGGTGGAAGAGGTCATTTTGGCGCAGGCGCTTAGCCTCCTTCTGTTTCCAGGTGGCCAAGGCTGCTGGTGTGTAGGCTTTTCCGGTCTGCGGGTCAAGTGGGGCAGGCTTGGTGGCATTGTGGGCAAGACGTTCTCCACGAGTGTATTCGCACCCAGTGCGTGGGTTGATGGCATCTTGGGGAATGGACAATAAGAGGCGATGGACTACTTCTAAGTATGATCAGTTGCTTGAGCTCGCCCCGCTTTGTACACTCGTATCTTGCAAGCTACAATGCAAATTGTCATCACAACGTCAACAGGCAAAAAGGGATGTACCAATGTAGCAACATCACCCGCAATAATCAACCAACATTCTAAAATCAAAGCGGTCAGAGGTCCTTCGTTTTGGAAAAGGTGATAGACCACACCGATACCCCTTGCGTCGACGTTTTTCCCTGCCCTCCACTTCATCATGAGATACTCAAAGAGGCATTCATGGTGGCGTGCGTTGTTGACAGGGAACCCATTCCAGTTGACAAGGTGAAGTCCAGTGATTCTTTCCAGCTCATCGTAGACTGGAGAGAAATAGGGATATTGCTTTCGCATTGCCGTCAAGGTGAGGAATTTACGTCCTTCAATTGAGACCTCCAGAGCGGCAGCCGCTGCAGCTTTGCCCTTGCCAATCTTCATCATGGGAGCCACGTGCTCCTTCTCGCTGCTGGATTCAGAATCTCCAAAAACGTTTTGAAGGCGAGTGTCAATTTCGTAGGGATACGCCGTCAGAGAACCTCTTGTTGTTGATGGAGCACGAGACAAGGGACGAGTCAAGGGACCACGGTGGCTCCCGCCATGCAACGCAACAAAACATTGGTTTTTTTACCTTGATCAGCGATGTCAAGAGTGTTGTCACTCTGGTTCGAAGCTGCATGGCGATGACGATGCTCTAATTGCGACTCATTTGGACCATGGCGTATATGGCTATTGAGAACTGGGGGAGGCGAATCTGCCGTTTGACTCTGATGGCTGGATTGCGACGCTGAGATAATTAGTCAGCGATGGGAACTTGGACTGGGATGGAACGGAATCACCTCGGGACTGCGATTGTGACGGTGGGCTTTCCATGTGGACAGGCGAATCATATTCCTGCTGACGCGGGGGCGCTGGAATATCTGATTAGCATGGAGTACAAGAACATTGAAGGGAATCACATTGGGCAGTGCCAAAAATGATTTCAGGACTCCCTATGGTGGCGTTGAGATCATGCCAACCCGCTACTCCAGCCAAGTCACCTTGTAACTGCGCGATCGGCTGGTTTTGCTGGATGATATTAGATAGTTCATTAGAAGCGCCCATGTTCATGACGTTCTGATGTTCTGATGATAAGGCGGCACTGGGTGACGAGTCAGTGGGCTCAATCAAGTAGAGTGCAAAAAACAACCTTGGAATTGCTGAAGCGGCTGCATCATGACAGGCTGAGGAGGACCGGAGACTTGAGTGACAGGCTGGATCGGACTAGTTGAATGCGGAGCTCCTGGATATGGAGATGCAAAGGGTTGCCCTCCGGTAGTTGCATGTTGGAAATTGGTGTAAAATTCTGACAGAAAGTAAGTGAAATTGTGGCCTAGTGGAAGAAGACTATATTACCTGGGTTCCTTTGAGACAACGTCATGTTTGGGGTAAACACCTGTCGATCGTGAAGTGCTTCAGGCAAAGTGCCTGCGTATGAGCTGACCACCTGGCCAGCTTGTCCTGAAAAGAAAGTGAGAAGGACGCAACAGATGTGGAAGGAGCGACAACGACCTCTATGTTCGACATGCTGGATAGTAATTGCCAGTTGCAGGAGGTTGATTATTGATGCCTGATTTGGAGTCAGCGAGAATTTGAGTGAAACAAAACAAACCCGCCTGAATGCCCTGGCCTGGGCCCATGATAGGTTGAACGATGGTGAGTGGACGAAAGCCTTGACCTTGTCTTTGATTGGTGCTCCCATTCTGGATGGTTGCACTAGACGGAAGAGCTACAATTGCGATAAATATTTAAAACAAAGAAGATCAATTGAACTCACTCCAAGTGCCGTTATTGGGGACAACAACATAGACGATGTTCCGCTTGTCTTGCGCCCGTATGCATGCCAGTGTCGTCGAAGGTATGAAGTGCAAATGTTGGGCTGGTTCGTGGTACTCTTGTTGAACATTGGCCAGAGAAAGCAGAGAGTGTTGATGGTGCTGCTGCTGTTGTTCCACGGGCGACGCAGTATGGTAAAGAGACAAAGAGGGAGCCTGTGACCCCATCATCTTGCCTAGTTGCGGCCAACGGCCAAAAGGTGTCAAATCCGTCCATCCTGCTCGAAAGTGAACATGGAAACCCACTGTTCAACATTGAGCGGATGTCGATGTGGTCGGAAGGCGGCCCGTCACATATCGTGACATCACATATCGTGACATCACAATTCCAAGGCTTCGTGCAAACGCCCAAGGTCCAGAGCGCGACCCTCCAGCGGTTGTCGTTGGACGAACCAAGAGCGAACCCACGTTTGGTTCGTCACGGTTGCGCAGCAAGGCTTCGTCCTCTGATGCTAAATTCTCCCACAAGTAAGAGTTGTCCTTGTTGAATATCCGCCGTCGCTAATTCTGGCGTAGACGTTCTCGCAACACCTCAGTCTACTGCTACATCGTCTACTGATATCTCGGCCAGCATCTCCCAATGCGACGAACGGGCGGGTTTCCCTGTTCACCCCCACCAAGGACAATACTTTGTGCGTGCTTAATTCTCCACTTTTAAATATCTAATGCGCGCTCTCAAATCCAGTGGGCCTCGCGTTGAACAAACATTCAATGTGCTCTGAACTAATGGAGTCCATAACGACTGAGGATATTCTCGCGCTTTTAACCAATTCTTCACGGGTCTCTTTGCTAAAGTCCGGAGTGCGGCCCTCCAGCGGTTGTCGTTGCGAACGCACCTTTGGTTCGTCACGGTTGCGCAGCAAGGCTTCGTCCTCTGATGCTAAATTCTCCCACAAGTAAGAGTTGTCCTTGTTGAATATCCACCGTCGCTAATTCTGGCGTAGACGTTCTCGCAACACCTCAGTCTACTGCTACATCGTCTACTGATATCTCGGCCAGCATCTCCCAATGCGACGAACGGCGGGTTTCCCTGTTCACCCCCACCAAGGACAATACTTTGTGCGTGCTTAATTCTCCACTTTTAAATATCTAATGCGCGCTCTCAAATCCAGCGGGCCTCGCGTTGAACAAACATTCAATGTGCTCTGAACTAATGGAGTCCATAACGACTACTCGCTGTCAATTCCCAAGCTCGCGACACGTGAATCTGCTGCTATCTCGGCTACCCCCAATGTGGCGAGCAGCGGGCTTCCCTGCTCACCTCCACGAAGTCGGGGTTGTGTTGCTGCCCAATCCGGTCATCGTGGACGCCGACGAGCCCAGTGACTGGTTTATGGCAGATTATGCAGTGGATCGACGACATCTGAGTTCGCATACTTGGACTGTCCCCTCAGACTTTCCTCGTTGATTTACCAACTGGACGACGCTTTTGGAAAGGCCATCACTTCAGAGCAACATTATCAGCATGCCATCAAGGCATCGGAACTCTTCGAAGAGCGGAAGTTTTCAAGAGCGGAACTCGTTATGGTCTATATAAACAGGCAGACCGAGCGCCTACGTTATAGAACTTATCGTCCCAACTGAATCGCCCACTTCAAACATGACGCCCAGCGTCACTTCACCTCCCACACCCGCAACAAACGAAGCTTTGACAATGATCGACATCCTTGGGGTCATCTTCAAAGCCTGTCTTGCCTTGAACTTTTCTGTCGAATGGCACAACGACGTTCGGCAAAAGATGGCTCTTGGGGCGGTGTGCAGGTGTTGGAAATTCACCTTGGAGTCACTTCCCGCCTTGTGGTCGCACATAATTCTGGTCCCGCGAATGCCTCAGTATTACATCGACAAGGTTTTTCGACTTGCCAAGCAAGCTCCGAAACGTTTGCGCATCGACCTTGACCTGGACTCGGAATTGGATACCATGTTTTTGTCTTCGATTGCCGCTCTGCTGGTTGCCAAAGCGGAGACAGTCACTCATATCTCCGTTCAATATATTTCCTATTCCGCCTGGAACACATTTGTCGACCATTTATCAGCGGCCAGTCCTCAACCCCGCTTTCTCTCGCTCAGATCCTTCTATGCGACTTCTCCTACCGCCCTGCACAACCAACTCGGAGATGCCGTCCCACATTCGTTTCCGGATCTCGCAGCAAACCTCCAAGACCTTTATCTTGACGGATTGCCTCCGTCGTCGTTTGTCGTTGGTCCCAACCTGATATCGTTGTCTCTAACAAACCTTTACTTGGCCGAGGACGATACGGCTTCTTTCACTTTCACGACGACATTGTTGGACTCTCTTCGCCAAACTCCCCATCTCGAAACGCTTTTCATTGATGTGGATGAGTCCTTCACAAACCAGCCTGTGCCCCACAAACCAGTCGTCCTGCCTTACCTGCACACCCTGTCCTTTCTCTGCAACATGCCCTTTCCACATCACTGTGGTTTCCTGCTTTCCCTAGTCCACCTTCCGAAACTACACAGTCTCTCACTGCATCTGGTCAGTGTGCAGAACGTGAACAATTTCATCTCGGTGAACGGGACCCACCTTTCGACCATTGTTGTGCTGCGTCTTATCGGCGACATTTCGGCTTATATCGAAGTTCACTGGTGGTCGAGCAAAGCTCTTGTCTTCGTTGACAGGGAGCAGGCTTCGTCATTTAGACTTTCTTGATGTCGACGGGCTATTTCCGTTCGATAGCGAACACAACGTCTTCGTCCAAACGCAATTCCTTGAAATTCTCGCATACACTTTCTCTTTCCGGCTGTTTGCCTTCTAGTCATACCACCTTTATTTTCGCCCCGCGTCCAGCCTCACGTGCAAGCTTGATCAGGTCCTTGCTGGAGCCTGTTGCAATACAGGCCGAACCTAAACGTATTTTCGAGGAACATGCATTATGCGTTAGCATCGACGACGATCATTCAAAGTGTGGTCGTATGTGGTCCTGGGACCATTGTGGACTTGCCTGGGAAAATAAAGCGAGTCACTTTCACGCTGCTCTACTTCCGATTTTTTATATGTCGACTTCCTCTTAATTACATCATGTAGTATCTTACTTCCTTGCCAAGTACTTCGTCATTCATTTATGAGCCGGTGAGAATCGACCAATAATTCAGCAAACTGATGGACCGCCTCACTCTCTTCGATTGCTTTGACCGGAGAGAGATACTATCACCATGCGGCAACGGCACGGTTGACCGATTGAGCGGGCCGGGCCAGCCACACGGATCATAAAGCAATGTCTTGGCGAATCATCCCCTCGGGTTGGCCTGCAAGTACGGCGCCTCAAACCCGGTCGCCGACGGCCCGGCGACCCGCTGATGGCCCGCAGATTTTTTGACTAGTTCCAGCTTATTGAAGTTCAGTTCAAGACAACACTGTGTATAGGTGGCAGGAATACATTTGTTTTGCGCTATTAAGAGCAAAAATGTTTTGGAAAAGAATGTAGATTAGTGTTGACTGTCGGTAATACAGCGACTACCTTGAAATCATCTTCCTCCACCAATCCTTGAGCCCTCCGGTACTCCAAACACATCAGTCCCCAAATACTTTGGCCAGCAAGTCGGTTACGTTGTCCGTGCCCTTGTTTGCATGCTTCTTGAGATTTTTCGTCGAGTTGTGGTCTGGTTCCAAGCCATGCGATGGCCGCAGCCCCGAGCAGCGCAGACAAAGATATGATGGAGCTGGCCTCCACGATACTCGATATGGATGTCGCCATCGTAAAACGCATAAATGGTGCTGGTCCAACCGTGCTTAGCCTTGTTTAAGAGCAGTCAGATGAATGCTGTCAAATGAGGAATATGCACATACCAAGATTCCGCTGCCGCAATCAGTTCCGCCTCTGCCGTTGGGTTATGTACTAACTTGATAGATCACGCATCGTCATCGTTGAAACAGAAAGAGCCTGCAAGAAATATCAGATTAAGTAGGGACTGAAACGAATGAGGCTCACTTTGAACCGATGATGCAGCAAGGGACGGAAGGGAAGTGTTGGATGATAACTGGGAAAGTAGGCCCAGACTGAAGCCACGAGGTATGTTGTTCTTGGCGCCCCTATTAGTGCTCTTCTTTGGAGAAACAAAACTCACTGCTTGACGAGCAATGTTGCGAAGCTTTTTGGCCGGGAGGTGATGATTTCGCTGGCACGTGAAGCAAGCAGCAGAGCCGTTGGTTCCGGCCTCGTGCTGACGCTTCAGGCGAGAGCGTGTCCCAGTAACCATGAGTAGCTGGTGAAATAATTTGGAAATTATGGAGAGATATAAAGAGGACCGGTGAGCAATTTTTGCCATTGCCGCGCTTTAAACATGCAGAAAGTTACAGAGAAATCAAGAGTTTGCCCTCCGAAAGTTCCCATTTGATGGTCGATAACCGACACGAGATGGCGGGAGATGGAGAGAGATGAGTATGAGCTGCTCTGGAAAACGACATTGAACGACCGCTACCTTTTGACCCTCATAGCCCTCGTTGACTGGTCCGCACTTTTGCGCAATGTAAAGTGTTATGTCGCAGGGGTATTCTCGTTGATGATGGTGGTCCCATGTAGAGCTGCGACGAAGATGGAAGACCATGAATGCAAGCAAGTTGCGACAAGAAAGGCAACCTACCGAACATGAGAGGAGCGTGGGGTCTGTGATGCTACTCCGTGCCATCTGGTTTGCATACTGGGCCAGCAGATCGTTTGCGTCTTTCTCAGGGAAGTCGTCAAGGTTTGTAGCGATGAATTCCTCAGAACGTTCCATGACCGTATCAAGGTCGCCCTGCTCAATATTGATGAGTACGTCTTCTGTCAAATTGTAAGGCAGAAGACATCAAATAGATCCAAGAGACAACTGGGTTGACATATCTTCGCTTGTGTTGTATCTGAGCCTAGCCCAGCTGCCACTCTAGTGTCCCATCCCTCTTCTCGAGTGTAGTCGGCCCTTGTGATGGGAGAGACGGTGTACGCAGAGCCACTGCAACTGGTGGACTAGTATTCGGGAAGTTGCAGGTCTTCTTCTGCTTTGCACTTCCGGAGAGTATCGAATACTTATGGTCCATCGAGAGCAAGGCCGAGGATAGGAATGGGAGAGAAAGTGACACAGTCAGGTGTCACTCTCCAGCTCCCGCTGTTGTGAGAAATGTAAACAGGCGCGTCCAGTGGGGTAATAAACACGTAGCGCGTTTGAGAAAGCTACCGCCGTGCATGGAAGGCACTCAGGACAGCTTCGCTGCAGAAATCAATGTAGATACTAAGCTTTGTGCATTTTGAGCGACGATGGATGGTGTAGACGTTAAGCGCTACCAAAATTTGGTCATCTTGCAAAACAGAAGTCAACCAAGTTTGCCCATACCATCAAATGGAAATGAAGTCGGCGAAGGCTGAGAGTGTCAGTTCAGTCGGGTTGCCCTCGCATGATGCGCTGATGCGTCAAAAGTGCCAAATAATGATGCTCTTGATGCGCAGTCTCGGTGTAAGTAACGATGACGTTGGCGGCGCAGTCATCGAATCGACTAAGTATGTCAGCGATAGACCAGCAGTGCTGACCGAGAAGGTCTGTAGACGGCAACGGTGAGCCTCGGAACACAAAGGCCAAAATAGACGCACCGTTTACACCAGAGGCCTTCGTGCGGCCCAAAACTTATTGATTCATGGGGCACGAACCAGCTCTTGGGAATTTCGTGCCCCAAAGTCCCAGTAAATCCCAGTACTGTTGTTGGGGCACAACAGGAACGCCGTCCGGCAGGTCCTGGTTGCCTCAGAAGAGCTTCCAGCGACGCCGCTGTCTGTCTTGAGGTAATGACGATGTGTTAAGCTTTTGAGGATGAAAAACTTCGTGTATTCGTGATCTACACAGCAAGAATGTTGTATATTCGTGGAGAGCTCATCCAGGCGGTCCCGTGCATATGCCTTTGGCCACGAGGGTGGAGTCGTCGTCGAGATACTTATAACATGTTGACGCGTTACATCAGGTGTGACTTGACGTGCTTCAGCAGATTCTCATCACACATTCGTGCCCCAGGCCAATCCTGGTCATTGGTCAATCTAAAAGTTGCTTTGCTCCGTTATGACAAATTTGTTTTGTTTCAGTGTCTAAGAAGGCATACTTACAGAAGGAGGTGTGGACTCAGTCAAACCAAATCGACTCTGGGAAAGACACATAATCGGGAGGAGGCAGCGTGCTTGCTTCCTTTGTCCAGTGAAGTCCATGATGGTCCCAGGACCACCGGCGACTGCATTTAGAATGATGGCTGCCCGAATCAAGGCACAACGCATGTTCCTCGACAACGTGTTGCGTTCTCCCAGGGATGGATGCAGGCTCGAACAACGACCTGATCAAGGTGGGATGCAAGTCTGGATATGGGGGCGAAAGTAACGGCGGCACGACCAAATGAAGAACAGTCGGAATAGCAAGCGTATGCGCAATGATTTCGAGAAACTGGGTTTGCACAAAAACTCGTCGCTGCCGATTGTAGCCAAACAGTCCTGTCACATCGAAGAGATTCAAACTGTGGAGTTTGGTGCCCATTAACGAAGACAAAAGCTTTGCTTGACCTCCGGTGTACTCGATATAGGCAGAAATGTGCCCGACTAGGCGCAACGGCAACACATGAGATGAGAGTTTCATTCATGGAAAGGAAGTGCTGCATATTGCGCAAACTAGCGAGACACAATGTCAGCGCTTGTGCTTGTGGGACGCGGATCTGTGATATCAAGGTGCCGCAAGCGTGGGGATATGATGTATGGCAAACAAAAGTTAGGTTGTTCAAATGGGGAAGAACAACTAGATGGCTGGAATGCGCAATGAGGGGCTCGTTGATATCGATGACGAGAGTTTCGAGATTTGTAACCTGGTCAAGACAGTCGAGCAAGGTTGCAGCAAAAACGAAGGAGTCGATGGGATTGTCAACGAGATCCCAACGCATGAGGACCAATGTTACGATGTTGGGGCCGATCATGAACGAGCTAGGAGTTAACCCGTCGAGATGGAGGTGCTCCAATGATGGAGTAAGACCCGGAAACGGATGAGGGAGTTCAGTGTCAGGCTCGCTCAGGTTATGAGATGAGGTTGCGGAGAATCGCTGGAGGGAGGAAAGGTTTGGTTGAGGGTTTACTGCTGATATGTAGTCGATGAAGGTGTTCCAGGCGAAGTAGGAGTAATAATCAACATAGAGGTGGGTGACGGACTCCGCTTTGGCAACCAAGAGAGCGGCAACCGAAGACAAAAACGTGGTATCCAATTCCGAGTCAAGGAGAAGTTCAATGCTCAAACGTGTCGGAGCTGCCTTGGCAAGTCGAAAAACCTTGTCGATGTAATACTGAGGCATTCGCGGGACCAGAATTATGTGCGACCACAAGGCGGGAAGTGACTCCAAGGCGAAGTTTCCAACACCTGCACACCGCCCCAAGAGCCATCTTTTGCCGAACGTCGTTGTGCCATTCAACAGAAAAGTTCAAGGCAAGACAGGCTTCGAAGATGACCCCAAGGATGTCGATCATTGTCAAAGCTTCGTTTGTTGCGGGTGTGGGAGGTGAAGTGACGCTAGGCGTCATGTTTGAAGTGGGCGATTCGGTTGAGACGATAAGTTCTATAACGTAGGCGCTCGGTCTGCCTGTTTATATGGACCATAGCGAGTTCCGCTCTTCGAAAACTTCCGCTCTTCGAAGAGTTCCGATACCTTGATGGCATGCTGAT